TTATCAATTTATATTAGGCAGTTGTGTGGTTTCAGGCAGTGTAAAACTGTTTGTGTTGATTGTTTTAGGATGGCTGGGGCATCAGTTAATCCGAAAGGCATCCGAAATTTGCGAAGTCTATTTGATACGACAAACATATTTTTATCACAATGGGTTTTGTGGAGGTTTTTAGAAATTTCGCCGGTTGAAATCATGAGTCAATTGAAGTTAGACCACCATGGAAAACCTGGAAGCACTGGACGGCCGTTTCGCCCTAGTATGGGACACATCAGCAGTGCGCATCCACGAACCCGCACCTCGCGAGATTCCAACCCAAGAACTATCAGTCTCGTGCTAGGCGCTTAACCAACTAGACTACTGTCAGGGCAGGTACACGTAGTTTTTACAGGTATGATCTGCAAATTACAATATTAGATTGTTTACAGCATACTTTCCAAGTAGTGTCATTGAATGAATAAAATCAACAAACGTAAATAACAGTACATTCATGCAGATGTCCTGGAGTGTCATTGGTTAGGTTTATACTTTAGTATTATACTGAAAACGGTCTTTAAAATATTTTCCAATGTGGTATCGCGTCCACGTTACACACCAGATTCAAGTTCAGCATAATTGGGTTAGAATTGTGGTCGTGCTAAGTATTTATGCAATACAACTTTTCAATTTAATAGTTGTTATGAAGTAGATTTGTAGAACGCTTGGTGTGGACTATGACCTTGAGGAAACACGTACGTCAAGTTTTTTCAGGCGTCGAAGGCTCCATACATGTGCCCTCAGAGCAACTTTTTGAAAAAAAGCAAAGCAAAGGAGCAGCAAGGCACTTGGATATGAACGCTTAACAATGCTTAACATTTTGTAGTGGAGTAGACAGAAGTATGATAAATTAATAGATTAAACTCGTGCTAGTTCTTGTTCCAAGATCTAAAGTCGAAAACCAGCAACAGCCTCCCATGGCATGAGAAGGGTGAATTTATACGCAACGTTTCCATATCAACCTAATGTATCGCTCGGTGCAACAACGGTCATGTCTGCATTCATGTAATCATAGAATTTGTCATTTTATGATGTATTCTTTATTAAATAACTAGATTATGCTGTGAATTCTGCTCTGGTTGTAATTTTATGGCCAAAACAGCAAACATACACTACACAATTGTAGCAGATTTCCGGCATTTCAATGTTAAGCTTGCTTTCGCTCACGACGTAATGAGTACATCCCCCCTTTTGCTGCTTCATGGTATATTTTTTAATAACAAACGATTTCGACCATATGATAGACTTAGGTATCATAAGACTGTCAAGCAGACCATGGGCCTCTCCGTTGCACATGTTCCCTAAAAAGGACAGCAACGGTTGGCGTCCAACTGGTGACTATCGGTGTTTGGATGCAAAAACCACTCCCGAACGTTTACCGTTGCCCGACATTCACGACTTGATGGCTACCTTAAAAGGCACAATTGCCATTTCGAAAATCGACTTGGTTAAAGCTTATAACCAAATTTCAATGGCCACTGACGATATCCTAAAAACCGCAATCATTACTCCTTTCGGTCTTTATGAATTTTCGAGCATGCCTTTCGGTCTAAGAAATGCTGCTCAAACATTCCAAAGGCTCATAGATGACGTTTTTGGATGTCTCAACTTCGTATGTTGATGACTGCTCGATAACGAATCCGGACAGAGAATCCCATCTCCAGTATCTGGATCAATAAGTCAATCAATCTGTGATGTGGATTGTCATCTTACGACCACCACTCAGACTCATGTTTCCAATTTTATGCAGGGTTAGCTATTCCACTAAGACAACCTATAACATGCTAACTCCGACTTTTACACTAGGATTGTGTATCTGGCATCGGATAGACAAAAAAAGAAAAGAAAGAAAAAAGTAGACAATAAAAGATATAGTTAATAGTATTCTTAAAACTTCACCCTCTATATGCACACTCAGTTCTAATAAACCGCTTTCCTTGTACCAACCCTTACTTCCCTTCCTTCATGTGAGCTGACGCGAACTTGTTAAACATCACAATTTATTGTTCTTGATTACTACATCCTCTTATATGGAGCCTATGACTTCATTTCACTCTAACAAGAGATAATATGGATTTAATCTAACTTATTATACCTCTGCCTGTTCTACCACAAAATGTTAATCAAAGTTTGGCGTTCATATCCAAGTACCTTGCTGCTCTCCTGTTTCTCTTTTTTCTTCTTCAGAATCTTGCTCTGAGGGCACAGCTATGGGATCTCTGGCATCTGGAAAAAATCTGACGTACGTGTCTCCTCAAGGTTATGGTTTACAACAAACGCTCTACGACTCTACTTTATAACAACTATAAACTTAATAAGTTGGGAAGCATGCTGTGCACCAACAAATGTTGTAATTTGTATATCATGCCTGTAAAAAATGTACCTGTTCATGCAGAAACATATTATTATTATCTTCTGTTCGAACGACTATAAAAGCATGGCATTACTGTAAACACTCAGAAATGCCGAACAGGATCCGACTTTTTAGACTTGCTAAAACACACTGTTGATGCGCAAGGCATCCGACCTATTGGAAGCAAAGTGCCGGCCATTCTGGATTACCCAGAACCGACCACCATCATGCAATTACGCACATTTGACGGCCTTGTAAGTTTCTATAGACGCTAACATCCAACTTCGTGGCAATGCGATATCCATTAGCCTGGACGACACCACGCGAAAAGCATTCTCCACAGTTAAGGAACTTGTAGCTAAAGCAACAATCTTTGCACATCGGGACACTCAAGCACCCATGAGTGTCGTGATAGACGCATCCGACTCAACAGTCAGAGTCTTACAACAATGGGTTAACCACTCATAGCAACCTTCGGCATTTTTCTCTAGACGGTTGCTAGACACCGGATCGAGGTACAGCACATTCGGTAGGAAAATCTTAGCTACGTATTGTGCCGTAGGGCATCTTCAACACTCTGTCGAAGGCCGAGAACTCACTGTTTTTACTGACCGTAAGCCGCTTACTTTTTCTTTAAGCTCCTCTTCAGACAAGTACTCACCACGTGAGTCTCAAAAACTCGACTACATTTCGCAGTTTATTTTAGATAAACAACACATTTCTGGAGTAAACAATGTAGTTGCCGACGCGTTGTCCCTCATGACGTCCTTGAACAGTTTCCAAAGGATCGACCTTCTTAAACTCGCCCAGCTTCAAAATGAAGACACCGATCTTCAGCACGAGTTAGCCTCAACAACACTTAAATGGCCCATTAAACAGATGGGAACAGGTAAGGAAACCCTACTTTGTGACACATCTTCAGGTAGCGATCACCCAACTGTGCTGAAACATTATCGGCGCAACGTCTTCAATACGTTGCACGAGCTTTCTCATCCAGGTGTTCCAGCAACCATCAAGCTCATAGCAGGACGGTTTTGCTGGCCTGGTATGAATAAAGACGTGAGGGAGTGGGCACGTTGCTGTGTAAGCCGCCAGAAATCTAAGGTTATTCGATACAACAAATGTCCCTTGATCTTATTCACAACTGCCGATGCTCGTTTTGACCATGTTCATCATAATTTGGGGGGACCCTTACTAGATTCAAATGGATATTCTTATCTTTTACCCTGCGTAGACAGTTTCATTCGGTGGTCGGAGGAAGTACCTATCAAACACTTCACTGCTGAAACAGTGGCTCGCACCTACGTCGAACGATGGGTAGCAAACTTCGGCTGCCCTTCAGATATCTCTACAGACCGCGGACGTCAGTTCGAATCTGAACTTTTCAGTTTTCTGACCACAGTTTTACGAATCACTCGCTTCCGAAAGACCGCCTACCACCCATAAGCAATCGCGTTGGTAGAACGCTTTCACCGACAACTAAAAGCTTCACTATCAGCTGTGAACGTAAAAAGGCGAACCGTCGCTCTTCCACTCGTCTTACTAGGTATTCGCAATGCAGTGAAGGCTGACATTGAACACATTGATCACTTATCCGACAGACAACACGCAAAGTTGATACTTCGGCGTTATCTAAAAGTAAACTTAAAACAACGCGTTCTAGAAGAGGAGTAAAATCTCAAGAGCATTTAAACGAGTATTGCAGGGAAGACAACGGTTAACATTTTCCTTCATCTCCATTTTTATCGGCATTATATATAATAGTAAACAAACCGACTTTAATATGCTCGATATTTATATATTTATTTTTAAAAAACATTTTTCACAATATATGTATATTAAGTTTCTTTTGAAAACAAAAAGACAGAAAATCATTTTCTAAAAATTGTTTATACGTTATCTCATGTGTATAAGCTTATTTTCTTTTTCTCGACTACTTTGTGTCTTAAAGCGCTTACGAGTTTATTTAGACATGCACTTATATATTCTTTTTTTCTTTACCAGGACGTCTGGAAAAGATAAAAGAACGATGAGGATTACGAGGAACCATAATTTTCATTGTACATCATTTTTTTTACTATAATGCACTTCATGGTCCCTTATAGTAAGGAGGACGAGCAGACGATGCCAAGCATAGCGAGCTATCAGAGGAGGGTTAGCCAACAACAAACTCGTTGGCTTTAAGCTTCTGTCTGGTCACGTCTTAGGGTCATCATTACTCCACTAGGAGTGATCTATAGAGGTAAATAAATCCTCAAAATAAATAGCACTGTAAATTTTCGACATTTGGTGCTGATCACATTAGTTTTAGTGGACTCACCTAGCTGAAGGCTCCCATTCATTCATCCACATCAGATCAAGAGTGGATACGCCGTGCTCAACATCTACTGCAACCGCTAGCCAGATCAAATCAGACAATCCCCGATATATTGATAGCTTATCTTCGAACCACTTTGCCTCTGTCTTTCTATTTCACTTAATGTGTACGATCCATATTAGAAAGTGTTATTAGTAAAAGCGTTGTCAGGCTCCGAAAACCTGAGGCGTCTTCAACTCCTTCCTTGGAGTGTAACTATTAACGAAGACCCAAATACTTTACTCTATTCAGCACCAGTTCAGATAAGTCAAGTTCTCCATTTCACTTTCTCAAGGTGATGATAGCTACTTTGCGAATTGTACAAGTTTGCAGAAAGACTTTGTTTAAATATGTAGAGTATACATTTCTATGGTGTTAAATTAGTCCGCATATATGAACTTACTGCGCTATCAAATAATTTTACTGGTGCAGTTTTTGTTAATATTATATGATTTGTTTGCCAATGCATCCTCTGAATTGTTTAGTCACGTTAATGTTAATCTTTCAGTTATATATGTGTAAGAACATTACAATATGTAATTATTTATTTCATCCTAGCGTTCAGGACCTATGTATACTTTTCTGTAGTTTGATTTTTTGCCTACTTCTATCTAGCACGTTCGTTTTTCAAGCGGGCTATATAAATCTTCTCTTGTCACAATTCAAAGATGCTATACTCGTTACATTGTGCTATCTGATTTTGAGTATTTCTTTACATTGCTGGGGAGCGGTACGAAAATTTGTAAATCTTACTCATTTCTAGATATCGAGATGGAACGATCCTGCTAAGATGCCATCTTCAGTCGGATACCAAATACTCTATGCTTTTCAGAGGACATGTAAGTATAAGGACTAATTTGAATCGCATACACATTTGTAAAATTGTACTCAAGAAAATGTCATTAAACTTTGGTATTCTCAGTTTACTTTCACGTATAATGTTTTGATCTAGTACAACTATGAAGTTAAGCTCGCAAAGTAACTTGGCGAAAATCAGGGGCATTTTTGGTTTTACCTGAAACATTACTTTAAATAGTAGTTTTATGACAAATAAATAACCGAGATGTTTTATCTGAAAATATCATGTCCGACTTCCAGTTTCTAACCAGTAAAGATTCTTGATTTTTGCAGTCATAGCTGAGAAACACAACTACTAGTACATCTGGCTGAAGAAAAGTTTGTCGGTTTGGTAAAAACTGGATGATGAAGAGACGTTATGTAATACCACACTTTAAAGTACAAATTGCTTATGAAGCATAAATATTTATGACAGAAAAATGCACGCATTTAAGATTATCAAATATGCTTGGTTATTTTCTAAAAGTACTACAACTACACAAGATATCACACAGTAATCCATATATTCATGGAATATATGAACCTATCTCGCTGAAAAATTTGTCCCTCAACGTTATGGTCTATAGCCTGGTTCATTCAACAAAAATGCTCTTTGCACTTGAATGATCCAGTGGCGTATATGCTGAAGTCCATCAAAAATGCCTGTAACTCGTGTTTATCTATTGGTAACCAGTCTGACTCAAATAGCGACTTTTGAACGCTGACGATAAAGCTGAATATATCCCTACCTTAGAAGACTGCTCAATGAATGTTGGGTTGTTTACCAAAGTTTATTGAGTATGATTATTACGAACCAATCATTGCGCCGGACGAAAATGGTACATACGTCTTTCAGTCTGTCCTTATACATATTACATTTCTATTCTCTTTGTATTTAAGTACAAAATTCACTTGGTAAAGTTCTATCTGTTATACAACCTTGACATGGAAGCAGGACAGCTTAATTATCAAGAGGATGCGTCAGGATAGATATCTATCTTATAGTTTGACTTGGATATAAGAGTACTTAAGTAGGATAATCACAGCATTTCAATCCAGCTGTGATGTATGAAACCCATTATTCGAATTAAATGAGTAAATGGATCTATAGAAATGATAGTCATAAAAATTACAATATTGTATTTCACTAAAAACAATGAAGGATTATCATTTCCGAATTCACATAAGGGTTTCATATCAAAAGTAAAGATAACTTTCATGTAATAGGTTTTTAAATAATTAGCAACTATTTAGATATTTTTTATTGCATGTTTATTTACTGACTAATGTCAAGTAACATTTGTACTTTACTAAATTTTAATTAAGGGTCAGTATTATACTACTTTTTTTACAAGAGAACAATTTATCGACTAGGAGATTCTAGATATTATGAAGACTGTGAATGGATAAAGAAACAAATCGAAAATAATTCTTGAAGATAAAAAAAATCATTATTTATATTTGAAAAACTGCATACTTCTGACTATCTTTGTGTAGCAAACAACATCTTAAATAAATGATTTTATGTGCAAATTAGTTTACCTAAAATTATCCAAAAAGAATGTTAAAGATACTTTAGTTTTTAATTTGACCCTTTTACTTGCCGATTTCTCTCAATATTTTTAAACTATTCATTGCTGTGTTAAAAACGACTAGGGTCCAGTAAGGAAGTTGTCAAATAAAATTATGAGGCTTTGTTCCTTAACTTGATCAGGATGTAAATTAACAACGATATTAATCTTAGAAAAATTCTCTTCATTGGTAATAATTTTCTTAGGGGGGTCAGCTGGATAATCAAGCTAAGACAAACCAATCACAACTCTGGTGTTTTTGCCTTGAAAACAATTTTAGAACTTTTTTCGTGGAATCCGAATTGTACCGGGAACGGCCTACCAAAGTTGGGATGGAATATTAATACACGCCAAATTTACGGTTCCGAATGGAGTGTAGCGGATAAATGTATTACTATACGAATCAGTCATGCACATCAACATAAATGCCATAAGGAGGACTTACAACTATAATAGACAGGTACTAGTTCCAAGAACTATCTTTTCTCGACAGAACTTTCTACTCTACTTGGATTCTTACTCAAGCAAGCCCCGGTTGGGTTAGAATTAGGAACATTTATAAATAGCTAAATCTGAGACTAGAGTATACCACTTTAGACTCATGTTGAGAATAGTGTCTTTAAGTTATATATTTTGCTTCGCAGAGACCAAGTGAATTAATAACTGGACAACAAAGCAATAACACGGGATAATAAACTAGCATAACCAGGGAAAGCTTTAATCTGACTGACTTTTTTGAAGAATTGGCTGTAAGTATCTGTAGTCAGTCATATGCACCGTGGAACCTCGTAAATATACGCGTGGGTTTGACATGCAAAAAATATCAACACGGTAGAGCGAAGTTATCGAGATGAATGTTGGTAAGCCCCAAGTGTATTACAGAACCATTTGGGATCGAAAAAGTGACTTGAAGGTCAAAGCGTGTAAATCAATCTTGAACGAAGTTTTTCGAATCATATTAAATCAAGGTGTTAACTGTGGATCATATAATGATTACGTATAATAAGGAAAATATCATTTACTATTTAAAGGATGTTAGATTGCTAGGAAATTACTCACATGTAGATGAGGAAACGGAATAGCTGTTTAAGATTGGGATTATGAATTGTGATATATATAATAGGCCTGAACATTGCTCTTGGTCTTAAACTTCAACGTCGAAGGACCTATAACCATATTAGAAAAGTTCATTATTCACCTGAAAACAAAACCAGTAGAAGCAATAGCAGTGTTAGTGATGGTAAAAAAAATAGAAGTAACGAATATGATATGCAAAAAATGAATAAGTTTAAATAATAAAGGGTACGACGCAAATTTGAACGTTAGCGTCTACAGATAAACAAAATTAAATTTTTCTGACCTAAGTCACCTGGAGTTTTCAACTATAGGTCACATTAACCATGCGAGCACCAACCAGGTATATTGCACTTATAAGCATGGCTGTTTACAAGTCAAAGACTTCAGAGACTGATAACATGTTTTGGTTTGGTCACTTTTGTCTTTCTTCCAACCTACTCCGATACCAGCCATCATCGCGCTCTGAAATATGCAGTGATTGAGCAAACGCAGTGTATGTCCTAACTGCTTCAGTAGATGAATGTTTACAATATTTACCTAGTACCTTTGTGATGTGAGCTACTTATATCCACATAAGTAGTACATAACGATGGTCAGAAATAGAATGTATTTCAGTGGAAGATCAAGAGGAAAAGAACGGAAACAGGAAGCGATTGGTATGAAAACGCATGAACAATGAAATCTGAGACGATGATCTGATATTTGCAGAAGTAACAGTTAAGTTTGAAACAATTGATTGATATTTTGCAAATCAACTATTTACTGTATAATTCTCAGATTTTAGTGAGATGTTCTGTAATTTTGTTTTTGTTCACCGCACCTTGATTTCGATCTCCGAATTGCTAACTCAGCGGTCTCATCATACGCAGCCAATGCTTTAAAGACACTTGTAATTAAATGCTTGAACTCTGTGAATGTCACGAAATTTTAAAAATCATACTCATTAAAATAGAACGTGGCAAATTCCTATGAAGTATATTCACCATTCAGTTTGATAGAAAAACTTCTCACTTATGTCACAAGTGATAAAAATCGATAAAAGAGGATAAAACTATCCAGATGCATTCAGATAATTCACCAAATACCAATCCGCCTAGGGTGATAAGAATCCAAAGATAAGTGAAGTGATCAACGCACTCAAGTGCTTCGCTCTCGATAATCAATATAGACAATGAGTGACACAAGCAAGTTTCGATGCAAAATTTTTCATTTAGATGAAAAGGAATGCACTCCAAACATCCTTGCGTTGTTGCTCAAGGTGGTCAGAAGATTCCGTTTACTGTCAGTATCTAAACTCCACCTGTAGCTCTTCTAGAGTTACTACCGGTTCCAAGCCCACACAAAGCAGGAGGGTTGGGCATGGGGTCGGCAACCTCATCTCGTAGGAAAAGACCTTGCTAAAAAACACCAACCAGATTAAATAAATCACACCATTTAAATTTTGTCCTGGTAGTTGAAAGAAGAATTTTGACGCCTCATGGTATAGACCAAAATTCTTCGAAAGTCACGAGGCTGATGCTCCTTTTAACAACCAGAGTAACAGTTTCTATAGGTAAATGGGACGTCCGGAGAATAAGGGAGACCGGGAGGATCAGTCTAATAGCTACGAAAATGAGGAGATGCAACATAAAAATACTCGAAACCAGCGAAACCGATTAAACTCAAGCTGGAGATCAAAGGCTAGATACGGGAGAGATGCTGCTATACTCCGATCACAAAGTGGAAAATACTCCACACATTCAGGGATTTTCTCTAATGTTGTCCAAAGAAGCACGAAATGCACTTGTAGGATGGGAATATCAAGGATCCAGAATCATCAAAGCATCATTCAAAACAAAGAGGGAGGGGAACACAATGAGTGTTATCCAATGTTATGCACCCACCAATGATAGCAACGACGACAATAATGACCAGTTCTATGGGAGGCTGCAATCAATCATAGAGAAGTGCCCAAGAAAGGACCTCACCATTCTGATGGGAGATCTCAACGCCAAAGTCGGAATAGACAACACTGGATATGAAGATATCATGGGACAACATGGACTGGGAGAGAGAAATGATAATATAGAAAGATTTGCAAATTTGTGTGCATTCAACAAACTGGCAGCACAATACACCTACACAAACGCATACACAAAGCGACATTGGTCTCACCAGACAACACCACAGAGAACCAGATAGATCATATTTGTATCAATAAGAAATTCCGAAGGACGACTGAAGATGTGAGACACAACAGAGGAGCTGACATAGCTTCAGATAATCAACTGGTTGTGGCCAATATGAATCTGGAGAATCACTGGACAACTCGGGAAACAGCATTACAAAGGTTTAATACAGTCTTCCTTCGAGATACTAACAAACTCAACGTATTCAAGATAGCTCTCAACAACAGATTCCAAGCCTTACAGGATATATGTGATAATTAGGAGTATTTAAATTATAGTACAAACTAAGAATCCCAGAAATAACGCTATTTAACCAAGAATTATTAGATGTTCACGAACAAATGCATACTATTTGGAATTCAAAATCAAGCAGTCAGCAAGTACAAAAGGAATCATTAGTTCATACTAACACCATAATCTACAGAAAGAAGAAACTGCTATGGAGGACAACTGAAAAGGTATCAAAGAAGCAATGATGTCAACATATCAGGAGGTTTTGGGCCGCAAGAAGCATCATCATAACAAATGGATTTCCATCGAAACCCTGGACAAGATTCAGGAAACGTAGAACAAGCAGACAGCAACTAACAACAGCCGGACACGAGCGCAAACTGCATACACAGAAGTGAAGAGGAGTATTAGAGTTGACAAGCAGAGATTCTTGGAGGACGTGGCGACGACGGCATAAAAAATCTGCAAGAGAAGGAAATATGAAACAACCCTATGGTGGTATGAAGAGAAACTGGCAGGAAAATATAGTAAACCAGAGATAGCAGTCAAGAACAAACAAGACAAGCCAATCACTGAGATTCAGGAACCGCGGAACGAGTGGGTAGAACACTTTGAAGAACTCTTGAATAGACCACCATCACCAAACCCACCAGACATAGAAGCGGCGTACACAGATCCTCCTTTAGCTGTCACTACAATAACGATCAGAGAAATCAGGATGTTCATCAGACAAATCAAGAGAGGGAAAGTAACAGGACCTGACAACATATTAGCTGAAGCACTGAGGTCAGACGTAAAGTCACTGCAAAGGTGCTCCACATTCTATTCAGGAAGGTTTGTGGGGAAGAACAGGTACCGACAGAATGGGAAGAAGGATACCTCGTCAACCTACCAATGGGAGGAGATCTGAGTAATTGTGAGAACTACAGAGGCATCACACTACTATCGGTACCAGGAAAAGCTTTCAACAGAGTGTTGCTGAACCGGATGAAAGACTTAGTAGACGCCAGAATTCCAGATCAACAGGTCGGATTCCGTAATGATCAGTTGTGTATAGACCAAACTGAGACAATACAGATCATCTGTGAACGATCGATTGAATGAAACTTGTCACTATACATCAACTTCATTGACTATGAGAAAGCGTTTGACAGTGTGGACAGGAGAGCATTATGGAAACTTCTTCGACACCATGGAGTCCCTAAGAAGATTGCCAATATCATCCGAACTACAGTGCGAAGTCGTGCATGGAGGACAGCGAACAGACACATTGAAATTAAGGACTGGAGTAAGACAAGATTGCCTTATCTCACCATTCCCCCATTCTTCTGGTGGTTGAATGGATTGTGAAAACCCCTGCATCTCATAGAAAGCACGGAATACAATGAACAGCTTGCATGCAACTATACAATATGGACTTCGCAGACGACCCAACTCTTCTATCCCATACACACCAAAAAAATTAGGTTAAGGCAGCCATTATAGCAGCAGCCTGTGCAGCAGTAAGCCTCAACATACACAAGGGAAAAAGCTGGATCCTCAAATACAACACGGAGAACACCAACCCGATCACACTTGATGGAGAAACTGGAAGATGTGGAACCATTCACGTACCTATGAAGCATCATCAATGAACGTGGATGACCCGGAGCAGACGTAAAGGCAAGGATTGGCAAAGCAAGGACAGCATTTCTACAGTTGAAGGACATATATAATTCAAAACAAATTTCAAACAATGTCAAAGACAGAATCATCAATACGAAGGCCAAGACAGTTCTACTGTATGGAGATGAAACTTGGAGGACTACCACAACCACCATCAAAAAAGTAAAAGTATTTACAAACAATTGTTTACACAATATACTCAATGTCCGTTGGCCGGATACTATCAACAACAAACTACTGTGGAAGAGAAAGAACCAACTTCCAGGTGAAGAGGAAATTAGGAAAAGACTTTGGAAGCGAATAGGACACATATTGCGGAAATCACCAAACTGCATTCCAAGGCAAGCACTAACTTGGAATCTTCAAGGGAAGCGCAAAAGAGGAAGACTAAAGAACACACTGTATCGAGAATTGGAAGTACATATCGAAAGGGCGAACAGCAACTGGAAAGGATTGCCCAGAACAAAGTTAGATGGAGAATACTGATGGGCTGTCTATGCTCCTCCACCAAGAATAACAGGCGTAAGTAAGTAAGTGAGTACCTACTTAAGACCACTGAATTGATTTATAAATTCGTCCTGAATACTGACTTTCTAACTGTTATTTTTTATTAAATTTTTCTTCCGTTAGATAAATGAAACAACTTTTTATTTATATCACTCCTGGAACTTTTGGTGCATCTTTTGTTCAGTTTATTCCAACAATACAGAAGTAATGAAAAAACTTTACTTACTGACCACCTAGTGTTTAAAAATCGGTCAACTTGTTGTTCTATATATTTTATGTGCTGGTTTATCCTTTCAGTGAACTCAGTAGCTGAGTAGATAACGCGATGACGTTTGAAGTGAATGATACTTGGTTCGAGTCCCAGAGTGAACATCATCTCTCTGAGATGCAGGTTATTCTTTCAGTAAATCAATACTGATCCTTCACAAAACAATATAAAATTGTTATTCATTTTAATTCCTTTCATATAATAAAATTTCAGTCTAAATGGTGATTGAAAAATATGATTATTTATTGTAATGTTCTCATAACATGTAATAACCATCTTATCCGTGTATCTTACTTAAATGTTCAATGTCTAAATTAAGCTTCATATACTTTTGGTTAATGGTCATTAATTAGACAGGAAAACCTTCAGTATTTATAATGAACATAATTTCCTAAACGTATTATTTGACTAAATTGTTTCAACTATGAAATATATTTCAACCTTTCCAGATAGATCTATTTTGTGCAGTTGAAACAAGTTATCTGAAGTTCATTATCCAACTTAAATCAATAATCGGATACTGTATTTAATTAATGATCATTGGTAAAACTTTATACAAATACAGTGAGTTGTTTGTCAAGTCATTATTGCATAATGTTGACATGATTTCAACACTGTAGAAATGTGAAGTATAATTTTTAGTGAAGCATTTTGATGAAAAACGATGAGGCTGTTAATAAGACATCAAGTGAGATGATTTAAATGAGAATTACAAATTTCATCTCTCCAATTATCTACTAGTTGATTATTAGATTCAGAAGGAGTGATCTGATGATAGGTTCAGGTAAAATGGATCAATGTACGAAATCAATCTATAAAGATTTTACCTGTGGGTGTACGAAGTAGAGTCTTGGAGATATCATTAATTCGTCATTACACAATCAGATTGAACTAATTCAATTACAGCTTACATCAACTACCATTTATCAACAAACATTAAAATTCATAGAATATTTAAGAATCTCAAAACTCAAAATCTAGTTTCATTAAGTACACATTAAATATCTGTTTAATAGTAAGGGTATTGTGAATTACTTGGTTGAGTAATTAGTTATAAAGCGGGTGGAAAACTCTTTAATTTCCAGATATTCTTAGATTGTAGGCATACTATTCTTGCTTGCCAGTTCGTCCGCTGGCGTCTACATCTGATCCTTCATGTTTATGGAAGATGCTGTTCACGTATGTAAAGGCCTCCACTTCTCTGATAGTCCCAACCTCATGTGTTACATGGTTGATGCTTACTATGTCGGATTTCAGGCACCTACTTCTTTCCTTGTGAATGTTCAAGCTTACTGTTGTGAAAGCCACTACTACACTGATTGTCTTTACCTGCATTTGTTGTCGTATATACAATAGAAGTGCCCACCATATTCCACAATTTTCCTGAGAGATGGAGGTCTTCACAACCCAGTCAACACTTGTGAGAAAGAAGAAAGGTGATAGTTGTTAGCCTCATCTGACACACTTATTATTTGCAAAGTATCTATGAGCTGTCCTCCATGCACGACTACGCAATTCAGTCTCTCGTAGGAGTCCCATATGATAGTGGCAACCTTCTCAGGTACACTATGGTTTCGAAACAGGTTCCATGAAGTTTCCCTATCCACACTGTCAAATTCTTTCTCAAAGTCAACGAAATTGCTGTATAGTGATGAGTCCCACCTCGTTGATTGATTGTTCATGAATGATTCGTAGTGCCTCTATTCGGTCGGTACACGATCGGTCCCTATGGAATCCAGCGTTCTCATCTCAAATTTGAGCATCATCTCAATCACTCATTTGGTTCAGTCACACTGTTGAAAACTATGTGTGAGACCGACAACAGTGTGAAGCCTCTGTAGTTCCCACACTTTTATATCTTGATAGGATATTCCTGGTTTTAATATGTTGATAGTTGTTTATCCCCTCCAATCTTTCTAGAGAGAATGTAGAACACCTTAACAGTTGCCTCTATATTTGACTTCAGTACTTCAGATGACATGCGGTCTGGCTCTGGTGCTATGAGTATTCAATAATTTAGTCAAAAATTTGTCATTAGCAACATTAATACTACATTCTTCCGAGAAATTATCGTGATTTAAACTGATAATTTGCAATACATCGCAGTATACTATTAAAGGACACATTGCTATTTGATTGCGGTTAGTTTAGTAGTTTGTAAATACTACGACCATTATGGTTTGCACATATTGATTGTTTGGATCTTCCCATTGATACCTTGGACTTCCCCTTATTGCACAAGTCAGTGGCTATTTGGACTCATACTTTTTCGCGAAAACTATTCTATCGACCTTTAAAGTCAGTAAACTGATTAAATGTTACAAAGTTATAAGAACATACAGAACTGCATAAACCAAGTAACCCACTCGAGCATATCATGTCAATATCAGGAGGGGCTTTTGTGGATATTATAGTGATTTCAGTAGTTGAAATCATGAATCAATTGGTGCTAGACTACCATGGAAAACCTAGAATCACTGGACGGCCGTTTCATCCCAGTATGGGATTCCTCAACAGTGAGCATTCATTATATCGCCACCTCGTGAAATTCCAACCCATGACCTACCAGTCTCGCGCGCGAGCGTTTAACAACTAGACAACTGAGCCGGCTGATATCCAATGGTGTTAATGTTTAAATTCAACTAATCCATGAAATTGAGCGACACATCCACCATTGTTTTCAGTGAGTTACTATCTCACAACAGACCCGGTTGAACTCCACTCGTCACTGTTTCTCACTACAACTCCAGGAAATATCTGTTGAAGCCAGTCACTATTGAGCATATGTTGATTAATATCAGAAGGAGTTTTTATGGATATTACAGTAATTTCAATAGTTGAGATCATGATATTCTAGATTTTAACATCTAGTAACTCATTTTATTTATGCTTCACCGTAAATATATGTGTATCATTAGAATTTGCATATTTTCATCATTAACATTTAAACTCGACGTAATATCTGTTTGTTATTGAGATCACGAACTCTGCCTGGAGTCCCTCCGGGGGCTACTGCCGGTCCCAAGCCCGGATAAAGGAGGAGGGTTGGGCATGGGGTTAGCGTCCCCATCCCGTAGAAAACTAACTCGCTAAAAAAACGCTAACCAGAAAAAATTATTCAAACCTTTTAAACTCTGCCCTGGGAGTCAGAAGATCTTCATTTAGAAGAATTATCACGCCTCATGATGAAAGCCGAATCCCTTCGGAAGTTACGAGGCCAATGCCCCTTCTGACAACCAGAGCGACCATTTATTTAGGTACATGGAATGTTCGTACAATGTGGGACACCGGAAGAGCCTTCCAGATTGCTGCAGAAATGAGGAGATACAACCTAGAGGTGCTTGAGATCAGTGAAACACATTGGACACAAGTTGGACAACAACGACTAACTACAGGAGAGCTCCTGTTATACTCCGACCATGAAGAAGAAAATGCACCGCATACACAAGGAGTTGCATTGATGCTGTCCAAACAAGCCCAAAATGCACTTATAGGATGGGAATCTCATGGACCAAGGATCATCAAAGCCTCGTTTAAAACAAAGAAAGAGGGCATTTCAATGAACATCATCCAATGCTATGCGCCTACCAACGACTACAATGAAGACGCTGAAGATCAATTCTACAATAGGCTGCAGTCAATAGTCGAGAAGTGCCCAACAAAGGACCTGACCATTCTGATGGGAGATTTCAACGCCAAGGTTGGAACGGACAACACTGGATATGAAGACATCATGGGACGACACGGACTGGGAGAAAGAAACGAAAATGGTGAGAGATTTGCAAATCTATGTGCCTTCAATAAGATGGTCATAGGCGGCACCATATTCCCACATAAACGCATACACAAAACCACATGGACTTCACCGGATCACTCTACACAAAACCAAATCGACCATCTTTGCATCAACAAAACGTTCAGGAGGACTATAGAGGACGTGAGAACCAAGAGAGGAGCTGATATAGCATCAGATCATCACTTACTGGTCGCCAAGATGAAATTGAAACTCAAGAAGCACTGGACAACGGGGCAGACAGTATCACAAAAGTTCAATACGGCCTTTCTCCAGGATACTAACAAACTCAACAAATTCAAGATAGCCCTCAGCAACAAGTTCCAGGCCTTTCATGATCTACTCAATGGAGAAGGAACTACTGTGGAGAGCAACTGGAAGGGGATCAAAGAGACAATCACTTCAACATGTCATGAGGTCCTGGGTCGCAAGAATCACCACCACAAGGAATAGATCACTGTTGGTACACTGGATAAGATTCTAGAAAGGAGGGACAAGAAGGCAGCAACGAATACCAGCCGAACAAGAGCAGAAAAAGCCAAGGCACAATCTAAATACACGGAAATAAACAAACAAGTGAAGAGGAGCATCAGAACCGACAAACGTAAATATGTGGAAGATTTAGCAACGACGGCGGAAAAGGCTGCAAGAGAAGGAAACATGAGACAATTGTATGACACGACAAAGAAACTCTCTGGAAATCGCCGCAAACCAGAACGACCAGTGAAAAGCAAGGAGGGCACGGTAATCACCAACATTGAAGAGCAACAAAACAGGTGGGTAGAACACTTCAAAGAACTGTTGAATCGACCAGCTCCACTGAACCCACCCAACATCGAAGCAGCACCCACGGATCTCCCAATCGATGTTGGCCCACCAACAATTGAAGAAATCAGCATGGCCATCAGACAAATCAAGAGTGGCAAAGCAGCAGGACCGGACAACATCCCAGCAGAGGCACTAAAAGCAGACGTAGCGGCAACTGCACGGATACTCCACATTCTCTTCAATAAGATTTGGGATGGGGAACAAGTACCAACAGACTGGAAAGAAGGACTACTGATCAAAATACCGAAGAAAGGCGATCTCAGCAAGTGTGATAACTACAGGGGCATTACTCTTCTCTCAATACCGGGAAAAGTCTTCAACAGAGTATTGTTAAACAGAATGAAGGACTGCGTAGACGCCCAACTTGTGACCAACAGGCAGGATTCCGTAAGGATATATCGTGTACAGACCAAATCGCAACTCTACGGATCATTGTGGAACAATCAATTGAATGGAATTCATCACTCTACATCAACTTTATTGACTACGAAAAGGCATTTGATAGCGTGGACAGAACAACACTATGGAAACTTCTTCGACACTACGGCGTGCCTCAGAAGATAGTCAATATCATACAGAACTCATATGATGGATTACACTGCAAAATCGTGCATGGAGGACAGTTGACAAAGTCGTTCGAAGTGAAGACCGGTGTTAGGCAAGGTTGCTTACTCTCACCCTTTCTTTTTCTCCTGGTGATCGACTGGATCATGAAGACGTCAACATCTGAAGGAAAGTGCGGGATACAATGGACATCTAAGATGCAGTTGGATGATCTAGACTTCGCAGACGATCTGGCCCTTCTATCCCAAACGCAACAACAAATGCAGGAGAAGACGAACAGTGTGGCAGCAGCCTCAGCAGCAGTAGGTCTCAATATACACAAAGGGAAAAGCAGGATTCTCCGATACAACACCGAATGCACCAATCCAATCACAATTGACGGAGAAGATT